TTAGCAATGGATTGTTGCGTCCGACACCCAGCCAATCCCGTTACGTTTTCTTAGTCACGTGACGTGACAGCATCACGGAGCCGGTCATGCAAGCTAACGCTAACTCAACTACAGAAAAATGAAATAAACTCATCGTTGAGTGAGTTTTACTTCCATAGAGTTTTTCCTCTCCACTGTCGCTACAAGCATGCTTAGTGTGAGGGATTGCTTCTGAATCAATGAGTCGATGCAATCAGCTGGTTTTCCTTAGATAGAAAACTTTAAATCAGTTTGACTGGATGATCTGGTTGAACTGTAAAGCCTTATGATGACTTGTGTTGTGAATTGGCAATATAGAAATAAACTGAATTGAATTAAATTTTTATTGAAAAAAGATTGTGCAATTAAATTTGCTGTTTTCTCCGATTTTTTTTTTTTTTTTTTCCTTCTTGGGGGGAATTAATCCCAAATGGAAATGTTAAACGTTGTAGTAACTCATAGTTTTGTTTATTTTTAACCAGTTGTTGCAGGTGTTGATGGCTGTAGGCAGGAAGGATCCTCTGTAGCTGTCTGTCTTGCACCGCATCAGGAGAAGCCTCTGACTTTATATGTTGTTTGTTTTAAAATATTGCTTTCTTTTCAAATTGCGTTTCACAGATGTTGTTCTGTTCACTCCTGGAGGCGTGCTTTCCCCTGGAGTGAAGCTCAAAGACACATTTCCACTGGTTTATTGTTAACAGCATTGTAAATGGGCAATGTGCTCATCAGCAGCCATTATTTGTGTTTGGCTTGAAGTGAAGTGAACATGATCTGTAAATTGTAATTGGAAAAGACAAATGATGGTGTTACTTTAAGATCCCATGAAGCCGTACTAACACTGCTCTAAAACATTTCAATGAGTTTCTGTAGACGGTCGTCGTTCATTGAAATGATTTTCCCTGCAGACGGAACCAGAGTGGAGAACGGGAAGCTAAACGGCCACGCTAACGGATCGGTGGCTAACGTAGAGGTCGAGCCTAGCGGCGAGGCGGAGGCCAAGGTGGAGATCAACCCCAGCAGCACGAAGCAGACCAGCGATCCTGCAGAGAAAGCCTCGGTCCTGGAGGTCTTTAAAAAGGTAGTTTGGATGGAAATGAGGGCGGATGTTAGAGGATCAGGATGAGGAACCTTAGAGAGTCTGAAGGGTTTTTCTTCATTTCTCAGATCTGGGTGATGGCGTTTTGTGTGACGTTCGTGTTCACCGTCACTCTGTCCGTATTCCCCGCCGTCACAGCAGACGTGAAAACCTCATTCCCTGGAAAATGGGGTAAGATCTTGGAGAAGACCTCCGGTGCATTGAGAGGAAGTGTTCTGGTCTCACTGCTCTTTCCCGTCTTCCCCTCAGAGCGCTACTTCATCTCAGTCTGCTGCTTCCTGGTTTTCAACATCCACGACTGGCTCGGCCGCACCGTCACCACCTGGGTGCAGTGGGTGAGTTTTCACCATCCGACTGAACCTGCTCTGCCATTTTATGATTATAATCTGCTAAAATGTCAGAGATGATGGACTCTTATAACCACAGCATGATGCTGCCCCCACCATGTTTCTCTAGGCGGTTCAGGTCGTTTTCCCGCCTCCGTCTCTGCTGTCAGGTTATTGTTTTCTGACCCAGAAAACTGCAGGAGAACCTTTAATCCATCAGACGACTAATCCGGGTGTCTCTCTGTCTCACGCTGGATTTAAACACTTCAAACCGAATGCAGACGGGATTAAATCACATTCTCCGTCTGCGCTTAGGGTCATGACCCAGAGGCCCCACCTTTAGCTCCAGCTCTGCTTCTTCTGGTTATCAATGAAGCTAATTGTTTCCAACCAACCTTTTTATTTTAAGTATGATTCCAGGATTAACTTTAAAATATAAAGTAGATGATTGATTAGTGGACTTTAATAATCTCATGGTGGAGGACTAACGGGTCGCTGCAGCTCTTAGCAGTCAGAGCCACAGCATGTTTACCCTCAGGGAGCGAGCGGGATGTTAATGTAAAAAGTTATTTGGTCTAAAATAAAAACTGAATTTGAAATGTTTTATCTTAAATAACAGCAACAGTCACTTAATCAACTTGTGTTTTCCTCTCTAAGATAATGATTTGTAGGCTCCTTAGTGGACCACAAGGGAAAAAAGAAAAAGTAAAAAAAGTGGCCTCTAAAATGCACTT